GACCTGCTGGGCTCTGGCGATCCTTCCGCCTCAGCCTTCCAAGGAGCTGGAACTACAGACACGCGCTACCATGCCCAGCTAATTTTTGATTTACTGTAGAGATGAGGTCTCGCCAAATTGCCCGGGTGGGTCTTGAACCCGCGGGCTCAGGCAATCTACTCACATCAGCCTCCCAAAGTGCTGGGATTACAGGCTGAGCCACCGAGCCTGGCCTGTCTAGGACATTTTGATGAGGGGGAATCCTGCTTTTTGACTCTTATATCTGAGCTTTGTTCAGCTTCTCTACTTCTCTCACTTAGAATCTCATCATTCACCAACACCTCCTATCTGACTTGCTGATAGGAAGCCAGAGTTTTAGTCCGGGTCCTTCTGGTGTTATTCGCTGTATGGCCGTGGGCCTCTGTTTCCTCATATGTACGATGGGAGGCCTGGACCACGTTGTTCTTAATCTCTTCTGGCTCCAGTGAGCTGGAATTCTAACTGCTGGTATCACAACAAATAATCACATGGGCCCTGTGCTCAAGTTGCTAGCCACCTTTTTTTTTAAATTTGTGTTGGGATCATATTCTCTTGCCCAGGCTGGAGTGTAGTGGCACAATCATGGCTCACTGCAGCCTCGACTTCCTAGGCTCAGGTAGTCCTTCCGCCTCAGCCTCCTGAGTAGTTGGGACTACAAGCATATGCCACCATGCCTGGATAATTTTTTAAATTTTTTATACAGACAGGGGTCTTGCTGTGTTGCCCAGGCTGGGCTAATCACCTCTTTAAGGGATAAAGTTTTAATTAATAGGAAAGATAAGTGGGCTACCAGAGTTGTGCACACTTAAATCCCAGAGCTGAGATGATGCATATAAGCAGGCAAGCACCAGGAGCCATGTCCAGAAGGGTGCAGCAGGGCTTGGAGGCCAACAGATCTGGTTGTCGGTGTTGGCTCCATCTCTTGGAGCCCTTGACCTTGGGTAAATAACAGCCTCCTCAAGCCTCAGTTTTCTCATATGCAGAATGGGCGTCATTATGCCTTTAAGGGTGTATTTAACTCCGTCTCCCTCCAGGAGGGGTTTCAGCTGGACCTTGAGGGTCCCCACCTTCAGGGCATTGTAAAGGGTCCGTCCTCGGGGGTAAGTCAGATGGGGACAGAGCAAGTGGCTAAGACTGGGGGTCACTTAGAAAGGGAACTGACAAGAAGGAGCTCCGGTGCCAAGGAGAGTGAAGAGCTGGGACAGAACCGGGTGCCGGTATTGGCCGATGCTTTGTCATCTACGCCTGCAAACGTGGGTGCTGCTACAACCTCCAGGGCCCTGGCTCCTCGCGTCTCTCCTCTCAGTTTCTAGATACTTCCCTCCTATCCCTGTAGCTGGGGCTGCCTGTGCTGGCTTGTGAGAACTGATTGTTTCATTTTCAGGATTTTGCAAGCTGTTAGCCACAGCCATCGTAAAAAATTAAAAGATTTCAACTTTTAATTAAATCAATGATATTAAAGGTACTTAATACCCAAAACACATCACCTCTGAATGATTGAACTTTGTTTTGCTGTTATCTGTGTTCTTGAGGTCAACTTTTAATTAAATCAATGATATTAAAGGTACTTAATACCCAAAACACATCACCTCTGAATGATTGAACTTTGTTTTACTGTTATCTGTGTTCTTGAGGTTATTTATATGGAGTGTATCTCATGGGGGCCCAGGGCAGAGACCGGGCCTTTTCCAGGTCTATGTTCAGTGATGTCACATAAGTCATTGATTGCTTAACAGCTTAGGGACTGTTTGTATCCCAGAGAGTAGAAAGCACTACAGGTCAGGCTTGACTTACTGTTTTGTTGATCTTCTAGACTTAAGAATGTGCTGAGTAAAAGGTCAATAAGGCAAATTAAACTTAAAATGTAGGTCTTGTTTGTAGCACGTACATGGTGACTGGCATGAAAAAAAACTGAGGGAATATTCTTTCAGTGTGCAAACACTCTGATCCAATTCAGCAGATGGTTGCTGGTGTCATGGATGAAGGAGTTCTGACATATACCGTCACTATCTTGCTTTTGTCTTACTCACTAATGTAAACGAAAATGTCTACGGGCCTTCAGGCCAGACCTCTCTTGTTCTCCCATGCCAGGTCACGCATCATCAAGCATTTGCATTCACGGGCTGGTTCTACTTGGCAAAATGCCAAAAAAGCCTTTTGTAAGAATGAATGGGCTACTTGGAATTTACA